AGTGGCCTGGGCTGGCTTCGGATTTGCGATCCAGCCTTTGCATTTGCGAGCTCGCAATTGCGAGCCAGGCTTTGCATTTGCGAAGCCTGTAGGCCTGAACACACCAGCAAATTTTCAAGTTCAAAATGCACCCCGTTGCCTATCCAAAACTCACCCGAGCCCTCGGGGCTCCAAACCAAATATACACACAACCTCAAAAACATCCCACGGACTTATTCGTGCGATCAAATCGCCAAAATAACATTATAAACATCGAATTAAACCTCAAAATCCAAGAATTCTTTCAAACTTCATAAAACATCAATTTTTCCAATTTAGGTCCAAATCACGTCAAACGACGTCCGTTTTCAACCAAATTTCACAGAAAGGACTTAAATCATATATAAGACCTGTACCGGGCGCCGGAACCAAAATACGGGCCCGATACCATCGCTTTCTAATCAGATTTTATTTCCAATTTCCTTAAACAATTTCAAAAAACAATTTTACTAAAAAATTCATTTCTCGGGCTTGGGACCTCGGAATTCGATTCCGGGCATACGCCCACGTTCCATATTTTCCTACGGACCCTCCGGGACCGTCAAATCACGGGTCCGAGTCCGTTTACCCAAAACGTTGACCAAGGTCAAATTTATTCATTTTAACATCAAAACTTAGCATTTTTCACAGAATTTCGAATTTAAGCTTTCCGGCTACGCGTCCGGACTGCGCACGCAAATCAAGGTGACTCTAAATGAGGTTTTCAAGGCCTCGGAGACACAGAATTTAATTAAAAACAAGTGATGACCCCTTTGGGTCGTCACATCAACTAAGGGATATCAAGGATGATTGTGATAGGATACCGCTGACGCTCATAGTAGAGGATATTAAGGAGGAGGTAACATACGGGACAACAAATTTTCGAGTTTTTATGGTCGACTTAGCTACTGGTAAAGTGACGCTAACGAGGGAATTAGGGGACTGAGCTTTTTTTCTGGGTGCTAATGCTTCTCTCTCGGTCCAAGCTTCTCAATTTCCAGGAATCAAGCCCAATCATATTTATTTTACAGATGATTTTTGGGAATCTTACCTCTGCTTTAAAGAAGGCGGCAGCTTGGACATGGGGGTGTTTAGCTTAGCAGATGGCAGTATTCAGCCACATTACAAGGGTGTTTCTCTCAGTCGTGTTTGCCCTCCAATTTGGGTTACACCAAATCTGTGTTGAGTCACACACCTTCTTTATTTACTCTAATATATTATGGTATATGTTCTTGCTTACCATAAAAGTCGGACTGCGTTTGTTTTAAAATAATAATTGGTTACCTGTTATTTACCTTGAGAAGATTGATGCTTTTTATTGTTTTCATATAATTGGACAAAGATGCTTCCAGTTAGTTGTTATTCTTACTTGCATCCAAGTATGTTGTGTTGGAATGCATTACTGCCTGGAAATCGTCTTTCTATATCACTATTGTCTTTCCTCTCAAATTTCTTACTTGAAACTGTTCCAAGATCTATGTAATCATCTTCTAGTTGTCTATTGAAAAGAAAGAAGGTGTAAGATGCTTCTATTACTCTGCTTTAATACAAGTGGTTTGAAGTTGTTTCAACACTAGGTAAAATGAGTTTCTTAATTTACCAAAAAAAAAAAATGAGTTTCTTACAGAAGACTTGATATATGATCGAGATGCTCAAGAGACTGCCATTCAATAACCATCTACAGAATGCAGACTAGATATACTAACGTTTGATACAGACATGCTTATGAAGCAAATTAATTAATGTAGGTCTATGAGTGGCATTAATATAGTTAACTATTGAAATAAAGCATGGTAAAAGAATAAAAGCATGCGCTTGCGCTAAATGACCTCTTTTTACTATTTGGTTGAGCCAGTGCTGGTGTGTACAAGATAGTAGCAAAAGAAACAAAAGGCTGTTATAAGTGTGAGGGGCATGTGTATTTGAGTGTGAGGAGTGAGCTTCTTTGCTTTCATACCTGAGTTACTTTCTTTACAGATCACCCAAAGAACAAAATTAAGGATTGTGTTATATACTTATATGGAATATTGAACTGTTTCGTCCTCGTTCTTCCCTTTCAATACGTGATTGCATCCATTGCACATTATATGGCATCACTTGTTTTGTGTTGAATTGGCAATGTAACAGATGAAAAACTAAAATATCTTTTCAAATCAGTTTCTCAATTTATGTGCAGAAACCTTAAAAGATACTTTAGATGACATGGATGTTAGGGATATAGTGGATATGCCCTAGATCCAATATCATATTTGATGATTTGAACACATTTTGTGAACATTATTTGATATAAAAATATATGTCATTCTTTTTATCATAGTTATTATTAATTGTTTGATTAATTTGATAAGGTCCTTGATTAAATTTTGAGATTTGTCATCGTGATAGAGATCATGATAATGAGAGCAAAGTCTCTTATAATTTAATCTGAAATTGTTCTTGATCGTAGGATTATTAATTTGGACATTAGTAATCCGGTTAGATCAATATTTATGTGATCGTCTTTATGGGATAAAGATTAGTTGATCTTATTAACTAAATCACATATATAGATGATGCATATAGAGATATGATCATTGAACCGACTCATTGGATAATTCCTAATGGTTAGAATTACCATAAACTGTCAATAGGATATTCTCTTGAAGAATGTGATGTAAAAGTTTCCTTTGACCTGGGATCGTCATAGTAATTGACAAGTTATTTGTTGTGCTTTAATACTAGACACCTATAGCCCTAGGGCGATAGTTGAAAGGATATTGGGTACGATTGAATACTTGTAGAATTAGTGATTGATCAAGATGGAATCTGTCAAATCTTGGTAATGAGTTTAAGCTCCATGTTGTCATGAATTATAAACGACCAAATTAAGACCTTGGCCAGGCAATTGAATGAAAAGAAGAAAAGAGTTTCTTAGGTCATTCAATGGTCGATTATATTTGACATGGATACATAGTTGGTCGCCTATTAGGATTTGACAGTTGAACCATATCCTAGGGTGATCCAGAGCTATAAGGACAGAAGGAATTACTACATTATTCTTCTACTGGTTCTTGAGAGTAAATTGTATACTTCATGCTATCCGGTCGTTAAGGAGTGTTGCTAGACGCCACCCTTGATTAGTATATTGATGTGATCAATTTACTACCGGTTTAGTATTGAACCTATGGGGTCGCACACTAACGAGTGTTCTGATCTTTGCTAAAGGATTAACTATTTTATTGTTTGGTAATTAAATTAAAGAATTTAATTAGTCAAACAAATTTAGTTATTAGTCCAAGTGAAATATTATTATATTCTTTGCTAGCACAGAGGATATAATTAATATTGTGAACAAATTGAAGTTTTCTATTTGGAATAGAAAATTAAATTATATCTCTTGGTCATATATATATAGGATATGTTATATAAAATATTAAAAAAAAAGGTTTGATGGAAACTTTGTAAACGTGAAATCCAATTGGAATTGGATTCACGTTAAAGTACTGTCAGCTTCGGGCTTCTACGATTCCATTAGGAATGGGATTATGATTTTTTAATATAAAATCATTAAAGTCCAATTGAGGTATTGATCTCAACATTGCCGCCTTAGTCTTTTCCATAACCTAAAGGGAAAAGCTGGTGATATGTATTTATATACATATTGATCACCCAAATACGAGACCAACAGTAGTTCTTCGGAGGAACTGCACCAAGAGATAATTTCAGCAAAGAAAATTAGTTTTCTTCTCGTGCTGTTGGCTGGACTTTGAGAAATTTCAGCACATAATTTTATTCAATTTGTTCACGGGTTTCATTGATCAAAGAGTTGATAGCAAGGATCGGTCTCGGTGTGGATACGCATAGAGTCTTCGCACTATCGAAGAAATTTTGAAACAAGACTTTCTTCACCAGGTACGTCTTAGATCCGATCTTTAACATGTAAATAAATTTTAAACACTAAAAAATCTGCCTAGGATTGTTATTGTCTTCCGCTGCGTGTTACGAACATCTATATGCAATCCTACAGTGGTATCAGAGCCGTGGTTTATTGTGTCTAAAATTTANCTTCTGTCTTCTTCCCCGGCAACCCCTCCCTATTTCGTCTCCTTTAAGAAACTCTCCGCCGCCATTGTTTTCCTCCCTAGATCTGCCAAGTGTGGAAGCAGAAAATGAAGTTAATTAGTTTAAGATTTCATGTAACAGTTAATAATCTAAACATATATATTGGAATACACTTTATTGATCTTCCTTGATGATATGCGATTTCTTTGCATATGTGATAAATGTAATTCTAAATACACTTACAAATTTCAAGTGGCAATTGAACCCAATTACAAAAATCTGAAGGAAAGTAACGGGAATTATTCCCATTTACATTGGTGAAACTCTAGTTCTAAATTAAAGATAAAATAAATTTTTTGAGAAGAGATGTTAATGATAAGTCGAAAATCGGAGCAAAAATGCCTAAAATCATGAGTAGCTTTCATAAAATTTGCTTTAAAATCGTTAGATTTTGATCAAAACTAGCTCAAAAGAGCTAGCATTCTTAAAAGAGAGAGAGAAAGCATTTGTTTAGAGTTCTGGAAAAATATCATCAATGGTCATCGCCTGAGCTTTGTGTTTTTCGAAGATAGAGATTGGTCGGGGTGGGTGGGGTTGAGGAGGGAGGGGAAGAGAGTAGATAGCATTTGGAAGTGAGGAGTTCGTTTTTTGGGCCATTTCACGCGCTTGGAAAATGTGAGAAACACTTACCTTGCCATATCAATTTTTTGTGTCTAAATGACACATTTGAGATGTGGTTAGAGTGTACAAATGGAACGGACTTAAGATTGAGTGTCTAAGTAAAAAGTGTGGACATAGGTATGTCGATGTATTTTGCCTTTCACTATTAATATTCAACTGTTCTTCATACAACAGAGTGAAGCAAGGCTTCTAAGAATCACCAAGTTCGTTTTCAAATCTATATAATTTTTTGGAACAATATATTTCCATGCCCTTGTTCATAAATAATCAATAGTACGTAATATACTTCAAACCTGTTAATGTTACAAGTCTTTAAGCTATCATAGAATAAACGGTAACATTTAAGCGCAAAACTATTTCGACACAAGCACTTATTATAACATTACAGAACTAGAGAATGTACATCAGTAAGAGAAACTATGTATATTTACACTTTGTATTTGAAGAAGGTTCAAAAGTAGCATGCTAGAGAAAGATGTGTAGGCAGCATTAAGCTAAAAACTGGGAAAATCAATCAGCGGGATGAAGAAGGCAAAGGATGCCAATTATCAGCAAGAAGCATTGCTCTGTCACGAGAAGAAGTGGATATCTGTTGAAGTATAACATACTTGACGTGATCAGCTGCTGTCTCACCAGCACGAGTGGCAAGCTCCAAATACACCACAGCTTTCATCATGTTACCTTCCTGCTCAAGGAATAACAAGAGTGATGATAAGTTCATAGACAAGCGAAAGAAATAAAAGGGAAAGAAAAAGAAAAAGGAAAAAGAAGAGGAAGGTCGAGGTTTGCAGGTCCTTTTCCTATATGAACCATTAGGCGATACAGACAACATTTTTTCCATGGACCTATTCATCCTCTGTTTAGTTATATGTGGAGGTATTTGACCGAGCACATAGTTTAAGAAAGAAGAAAAGATTTTCGAAACTTATGGCCTTAAAAATGTCATGTCAGTAAGGGTAAAATGGGAGATCTAAAGTTAAATTTTTTCTAAATGCAGAAGGTTGTCATTCTTTTTGGAACATAAAAGAGTGTAACATAAAATGGCACAGAGGGAGTATTGTTTTTCACAATCTAGTCATAAAGAAGTTGGGAAGGGTTGGAGTAGTGCAGTGGGAGGATTTATGTAGGCTCTACTTACGGAAAATAGACTAAGTCCGTGCTCAAACTGGGCTTTGCTATGACCTCGATCAGCTGCTCTCTTCATCCATTTCCTTGCTAATTTATGAGACTGCGATAGACCTTCTCCCACTGAGTAGCATATTGCAGTGTTATACATGGCACGGACATATCCACCTTCCGCTGCCTTCAGATACCACCTTGCCTGCACTTCAAAAAGAGAAAACACTTTCAGAAGCAAAGTTATCATATGAACAACCCAGTCATCCGTATAGAAGTCAAAAGACGAATAACAACTTGATCGACCATAATAGTGAATTTGAATTTTTAAGTACAAATTCTTCTTTTTGTTTTTGGCAGGCAATGTCGTCATAATTCCAGAATTGTGAAATTCCAGAACCTCAGAGTATGATTTGATCTGGAACTTGAATGACATTGGCCCAAAGTGATATTGGACCTATGTATATGTTCTTCCTACATGCATGACAAGATAAAATTCAGTGATCTACATAGTGTTTTCGGTATGCATGGCAAGATAGACGAACCCATAAACAGGGAAGATCTCCCTTATTTTTGTCTGTGAAATTAAATGGTCACAAAAACAACTGGTCTCAATCCAAACTAGTTGAGTCTGCTCTGTGAAGTTAATGGTTAAACAAGTAAAATTTTCATACCGCTTCCTTAAGATCCCTACTTGGGCCACAACCTTTATGTAAACAAAGGGCAAGCTGGTACTGAGCTCGAACATAGCCTGCAATAGAAGCTTTGTACAGCCATTTGATAGCCTCCTCAATGTCTGGTGGATTAGCTGCATAGAGTATAAATAGATCATTACTACATAGAGATACAATAACCAGAGTAATGAAAGTCAAATCTGAAAGTTGTAAAACAAATGCTTCCTTTTGTGGTCAGTAAGCTTGACAGAGAACTATGCTACTGCAAATAAAACGCAAAGTTCTGGTGGGAGCTCTCGGCGATGAAATGACTTCACATGCGTATGTGGACTTCTAATTCTATTAAGTAGCATACACCATAAGTTGATGCATAACAGTAAACCGCCAAAAACTGCTGGTAGAGCAGAGCCTACTCTGGTTCACTGACACAATCACCAGAGGAATAATAAAAGAGAAGGACAAAAATTATCGTAAAATGTGTTGCTGACTTGCTGCCTTCAACTTCTCTGGAATAAGTGCTGCAGAGGCCTTCCAACAATCTACTTCCCCGCCCTTGCATTTAATGGTTCTCTAGCAAAAGGGTAAACTTTACAGTTTTCAGGTGTTGGAAGGGGAACTTCAACCAATTAAATAGTAGGAGGGGCTCCACATAACCTCTTCCAACTTCTAGAACTACTTCTTACTTCCCCCTTAAACATTATTCTTTCTTTCATTACAACGCATTTTGCTGCTAAATCTTCTGTAATATAGCTCTCTCAACCCCTCTTAATGTGATTGCTCCAATAACTTGGCATTGTAACACTTTCTTGCACAACTCTGCTATCAACAGCTCTCAGGCCAAAGCCATTAAGTCATGCCAGTTTTGCACAATCTCACTGTCAACAGATTGGTGTAAAACGATGGGATTGTGGCTGGAGGGCTTGGCAAAAGAAGCAGTTTTTTGTTAGCTGGTGGCTTGTGGTTGTATACCAGCAGCGCCTGCGATGGCGCCATGATCGGTATGAAAGAGCTGGCTTAAGGGTAATAGGAAGAGATACCTTTCTCCAAAAGAGATCCCAAAACAGTCCTGATTTTATTTTAATGCTATTCTTTTTCAGAAAGGATATCAGGGAGACTGCAGGGACAAGATACTGTAAAGGAAGTTAAAGGGAGAAAAGTGCCAACCTCAGGAATGTTTAAGGATATATATGACAATTCCTGAAACAACTAAAAGCACCACTAGTTCAATAAAGACCAACTGTGCAAGAAGAAAAATGAACAACTGGAATTACCTCACCCTCCCACACCTAACTTTCTCAATTTTGGACAGCACGCTCAATTGGTGATAATGATTAGAGAGGGCATCGCAAGCAAGATTTTAGAGAAATGCTAAGTCCATATCAATGAACGAAAGTATACTAGAGAAAACAAGACAAGCTATACCAATAACTACCAAGAAGCAAATGTAAATCAAGTAAAATCTGATGCACAAATTACTAACTCTTCATGCTGAATGAGAATCACAAAGAGACAAAGCATAGGAAGCAAAAGCATGGATCTTTGGTTACTAAACACTGTGATTGGTGAAACAAGCCCACTATTAATAATTTATTCATACAATTAAGGCTGTTAAATCTCATACACGGCAAAGAAACTTGTGCTTCTTTTGATACAAAAATCTACAATCTTTCTCTTTATTTCTCTTTTGTCGGGAAAAGTAAGCTATTCATTTCATTGATTGCACCAAGAAGGTGCCAAATTCGTAAACTATGTAATACTGTTAATTTAAATGTTTTTTGTCCATCAGGCGTATTCTCCCAAGCACCCTACTAAAATCTATGTGCTCATACTTGTGGCAGTTTGAAGTACTGTCAGTTCACCAAGAGGATCGTCCTCCCAATTTGAAGTTAAGTTTTTTAACAGAAAGCTCAAACCTTGGCGACTACGATCATAAACTATGACAAGTGTCACGACTATAAACATTTCTTGTGATTATGACAGGCAGGGGCATAGCTACCTTTGGTAAAGGGGTTCAATTGAATCCCCTTCAACGGAAAATTACATTGAATCCCCTAACTCGAATTTCTGGCTCCACCACTGACGACAGGGCCATACCCTTGGATCTCTCCTTCACATAGAAAGATAGTTCCTTTTTTTTTCTCAAACATAGCAAGATAATCAATATTCCATATTAAGCAAGAAAATGTAAGTTAGTTACCTTGCAAGAGGGAAATGCCCAAGTTACACTGACCAGCAGGGTCACCAAGTAGAGCAGCCTTTCTATAAAAAGCAAACCCTTGTTCCTTTCTCCCCATTTCCCAATAAAGCAAGCCAGCATCAACCATAGCCAAAGTTGACCCACGAGCCGCACCTTTAAGGAAGGAGTCAAGTGCCTTATTCAAATTAACCTCAACCCCACCACAGCCATGCTTGAAATTCTTACCATATTTGAGAAACAACATGGCTTCTCTTAAGGGCCTAAGTGCATCACACCAAGACTTGCATACCTGTGAAGCAGCACGTAAATTTGGCAAAGTGAAAGTGGCAGCTATTTTCAATAACACGTCGTTAGGAAGTTGCGAGAAATTATCTGAGGAATATTCCTGATTTGATGATGAAAATGGATTGAATTGGGGATTATGGTTTGTGGGGTGGTTTTTTCTTGGATTATTGTTTTCGGGTGTTTTTGACATGAATGAAAAGGCGGTGAAACGAGGACCACCGTCGGATTTGTATGGCCATGTTCTCTGATTCATCATCTGGTATTCTGTGGACCCTGCAGCTGCCATTGAAATGAATAGGCCCTTAATAAGAATTCGAGTTTGTGTACCCGAATTCAGTTGAAAATCGGAATGAAATGGAGCTGTCAAAGAAAATGGGAAGGGAAGAGGAGAATATTTACAACAAGTGATTTTACATTATTTTGTACTCCATATAACAAACTCAACATCATCATCATTATATTATAATAATGTGTTGCAGGAATTATGTGACCCAAACAACTCTTTGGAATAAGAGTTGGTGAGAGGTTGGAGGTTAGGGGTTTTGTGATGGTCGTAGGAAACGCGTTGATGTTCTCACGAAATTGTTGTGCTCCTATGAATTATGATGACCAACTAACTGCATATCTTTTTCTTTCGGGTTTTCTTTGCGTGTGGAAGTTGTGATCGATGTTGTCAATTGAAGGAAAGATAAATGAGACGAGATGCAGAGGATGACTATTTTTTCGCTTTTATATTACCTTCTTGGGAGAGAAATATACGTATGGGTAAATCTCAAAATTTAGAGCCCCACATAAGAATTTTTTCACTGTTATAAATATATTATATTATGGATGTTCATACTCCGTTGTAAATAAGCTTCCTGAAAAAGTTTATCCATATGTGACTCCGCCGTAAATATGTTATCTATTTACTACTCTATTGGAAATAAGCCTCCTGAAGAAGCTTATCACTTCGGTACCCGGTTATGGATAAACATTACTTTTAGTATAAGATTATCCATATCTGATATAGTAGCAGCTTACACAACAGCTTGTAGTAGCTTACACAGCAGCTTGTAGTAGCTTGCACAGCAGCTAGTAGTAGCAACTTACACAGCAGCTTACAGTAGCAGCTTGCAGTAGCAGCTTACACAGCAGCTTCCTTTCTTCTATAAATAGAAGAGATTTCAGTTCATTATGTACATCAGTTTGAATTCGAATAATATATCAGTTTCTCTCTATACTTGTCTTTACTTTACAGTCTTTATTTTATAACACGTTATCAGCACGAGACTCTGCGATCTCGAGCAAATACTTTGAAAGTATCTGAGGTACGAACTTTCTTTTTCTAAATAATGTCAAATCTTTCTAAACTTGAATTTATAGTCCTGGATATATCGGGCAAAAGCTACATGTCTTGGGTGCTTGATGCTGAAATTCATCTTGATGTGATGGGTCTGGCAGACACCATCAAAGACAAAAATGAGGCATCAAACCAAGATCGTGCCAAAGCAATGATATTCCTACGCCATCACCTTGATGAGGGCCTGAAAATGGAATATCTTACTGTTAAAGATCCAGTCATATTGTGGAATAATTTGAAAGATAGATATGACCACCTGAAGATGGTCGTTCTTCCACAGGCACGATATGATTGGACTCATCTAAGGCTACAAGATTTTAAATCTATTAGTGAGTATAATTCTGCTGTGTTCAGAATTATTTCCCAATTGAAACTATATGGTGATAATATTACTGATCATGATATGTTGGAGAAAACTTTCACCACTTTTCATGCCTCGAATATGCTCCTGCAGTAGCAATATCGAGAGATGGGATTTAAAAAGTATTCTGAACTTATCTCACATCTTCTTGTAGCCGAGCAACATAATGGGCTATTAATGAAAAATCATGAAAGCCGACCTACTAGTTCTTGTCCATTCCCTGAAGTGAATGAGACGAACTTCCACCAAGTTAAACGTGGAAGAGGTCGTGGGCCCAGTCGTGGTCATGGCTGTGGTCGGGGAAGAAACTCTAATCATGGTAATAATAATGCACCAAAGAACCCTCCTCACCACCAGCAGTGGAAAAGGAAGGAACAAAAGCATGAAGCGGTGCAAGCACCAAATGCAGAAAATGCTTGCTACAGATGTGGAGGAAAAGGGCACGGGTCACGTACCTGTCGTACGCCAAAGCACCTGGTTGAGCTTTATCAAGCCTCCTTGAAGAAGACAGAGAAAAATGCTGAAGCAAATTTTATTTCTGAAGATAATTTAGACTTCATGCATTTGGATGTAGCTGATTACTCTGCACTCCCAGAAGGAGAAACAAGTCATGTAATCGGTAGTGAATCTATAGAAATATAAATATTTTAATTTTTGTTGTTTGTAATAGATAGTATGGTTATGTAATAGTTGTACATAAATAAAAGTTATGCTTTGATAATGATGTTTTTTATAATATATTTTATGTATGTCATTTTGAAGAATATGGATAATTCTCAAATTATGTTTGAATCAAAGACAAATCATGAAGATATTTGTGTTATTGATAGTGGAACAACCCATGCCATATTCAAGGATCGGAAATATTTTTCTTATTTGCATAAGGAAAAGGCAAATATTTCAACAATTTCTGGTAATATAAGTTTGATTGAAGGCTTCGGAAGAGCTATATATTTCTGTCTAAGGGAACAAAACTTATTATAGACAATGCATTGTTCTCCTCCAAGTCCCGAAAAAACTTGTTGAGTTTTATAGATATCCGCCGAAATGGGTATCATGTTGAGACAATAGATGAAATGAACATGGAATATCTTTGTATTACAAAGAATATTTCTGGCCAGAAATGCATTGTAGAAAAGTTACCAACTTTATCTTCCGGCTTATACTATTCAAAAATTAGTACAGTTGAAGCACACTCTATCGTAAACCAGAAGTTTACGGATTCAAATACTTTTGTGCTTTGGCATGGCCGTTTGGGCCATCCTGGATCAATAATGATGAGACCAATTACTGAAAATTCGAGTGGGCATCCATTAAAGAACCTGAAGATTCTTACAAATGACGAATTTTCTTGTGATGCTTGTTATCAAGGCAAAATGATCACTAGACCATCACCAATGAAGGTTAGCATTGAATCCCCTGCCTTTTTAGAGCGTATACATGGGGATATATGTGGGCCTATTCACCCACCAAGTGGGTTGTTTAGATATTTTATGGTCCTAATAGATGCATCTTCAAGATGGTCTTATGTGTGCCTACTATCATCTCGCAACCTGGCGTTTGCAAAGCTATTAGCCCAAATAATTCGATTAAGGGCACAATTCTCAGATTATCCTATAAAGGCTATTCGCCTTGATAATGCTGGAGAATTCTCATCTCAAGCTTTTGATGATTATTGTCTACCAGTTGGGATAAAAGTTGAACATCCTGTAGCTTATGTTCATACTCAAAATGGCCTTGCAGAGTCATTTATTAAAAGCCTACAATTGATAGCAAGACCGCTACTTATGAAAACAAAATTGCCCACTTCTGTTTGGGGTCATGCTATCTTGCATGCAGCATCACTTATCCGTCTCAGACCGACACATTATAATAAATATTCTCCGTCACAATTAGTTTTTGGTCATGAACCAATATTGCCCATCTACGAATTGTCGGATGTGCTGTATATGTGCCAGTAGCACCACCACAGTGCAGTAAGATGGGACCACAGAGAAGGATAGGAATATATTTTGGGTTTGAATCACCCTCTATTATTCGTTATCTTGAACCATTGACAGGAGATTTTATTTACTGCTCGATTTGCAGATTCTCGGTTTGCTAAAACAAATTTCCCACAATTAGGGGGAGAGAAAAAGGAAATCAAAAGAGAAATTGTCTGGAAAGTTTCATCATTATCTCACTTTGATCCACGTACCCCTATATGTAATCAAGAGGTCCAAAAGATCATCCATTTACAGAATATAGCAAAGCAAATGCCAGACGCATTTACTGATTTGAAAAGGATAACTAAGTCACATATCCCTGCAGAGAATGTGCCTATCCAAATTGATGTCCCAGTAGCACCATCTACTAGCATGAGAGCTAGTGAACCTAAAGCACGCCTGAAGCGTGGTAGGCCTTTAGGTTCTAAGGATCGAAATCCTCGAAAAAGAAAATCGACAAATGATCAAAACGATACTATGAAGGGATCTCCTGAAGAGACCCAAAATCTGATTAATTTTGAGATTCCTGAAGAAATCAATGAACTTGAAGCTCATATGAGTGAGGAATTTTAATAAGTTAGACCAGTGATGGGATTAGTTTAAATCGATCTGAAATAGTGGTGGATAATATTTTTGCATATAATGTTGCACTTGATATTATTCAAGATAGTGAGGATCTTCAACCTCGATCTGTCGAAGAATGCCGACAAAGATCTGATTGGCCAAAATGGCAAGAGGAAATTCAATTGGAACTAAAGTCACTTGCTAAAAGAGAGGTCTTTGGACCAGTAGTCCAAACACCTGCTGGTATAAAACCAGTTGGTCATAAATGGGTTTTTGTGCGGAAAAGGAATGATAAAAATGAATTTGAAAGGTACAAAGCTCGCCTTGTTGCACAAGGATTCTCACAACGACCTGGAGTCGATTTTGATGAAACATATTCACCTGTTATGGATGCTATAACATTTCAATATCTTATCAGTTTAGCACTACATGAAAAGCTTGAAATACATCTAATGGATGTAGTTACAGCTTATCTGTACAGTTCACTTGATAATGAAATTTATATGAAAATTCCTGAAGGATTTAAAATGCCTGAAGCAAATTCAAAATATCAGGAAATGTATTCAATTAGATTACAAAGATCTTTGTACGGTTTAAAGCAGTCTGGGCGCATGTGGTATAATCGCCTTAGTGAATATTTGCTGAAAGAAGGTTACATAAATGATGTTATTTGTCCATGTATTTTTATAAAGAAAATGGCATCAAAATTTGTTATACTTGCTGTTTATGTTGATGATATAAATCTTGTTGGAACTCCAGAAGAGCTCCAAAAGGCAATTAAATATCTTAAGAAAGAATTTGAGATGAAGATCTTGGAAAGACTAAACTTTGTCTTGGTCTGCAAATTGAACATTTAGCAGACGAGATCTTTATCCATCAATCTGCATATACAGAAAGGATCTTAAAACGCTTTTACATGGTCAAAGCGCACCCATTGAGTACACCAATGGTTCTTCGATCACTTGAAGTGAATAAAGATTTGTTCCGACCTCCAAAAGAGGATGAGGAACTCTTTGGTCCCGAAGTACCCTATCTCAGTGCAATTGGTGAACTAATGTATCTTGCTAATGCTACAAGGCCTACCATAGCATTTTCTGTTAATTTACTAGCAAGATACAGTTCTTCTCCTACACGAAGACATTGGAATGGGATTAAGCATATACTGGGATATTTAAAGGGAACTCTCGATATGGGTTTGTTTTATGCTAACAAAGATAGTGCAGATCTTGTTGGTTATGCAGATGCAAGTTATTTATCTGATCCCCATAATGCTCGATCTCAAATCGGGTACGTGTTTACATATGGAGGTACTGTCATATCATGGCGCTCCACAAAGCAATCTATTGTTGCTACTTCTTCAAATCATGCTGAGATAATAGCTATTCATGAAGCAAGCAGGGAATGCATATGGTTGAGATCAATAATTTATTTTATTCATGAAAAATG